CCATTCCTTTTTCGGTATTGACAGGACAAGAAACAAATTATTAGCGTTACTGCACAATTTGTTTCAGACTTAAACCCAATAGAAAAAATAAATATCTGTACTGTACTCAGTCATCAGACCGCAGATGTTCTACAACACCCAATTAAAAACGCAAATATCGACAATACATTTCCTTGAACAGTGTAGATTATTTAAATATATAGTATTTGAGATACTTAAAGGGGCTAAATCGCTAATATTTGGGACCTAGAAATTGACACAAATGGGTCGCAACGCATATAATAATGTAATATGAATGTATATAAACTGATTTACATTCAATCGTTTCTGTTTTTACTCTAATTTCAAATCAGTTCTGTTCGGCGAAATACGTCAGAAGTCTCAATCGAATTGCAATCTCTAACGTCTGGTTATTTCAGTCAACAAAGACTGGAATTTATTGCGCATGCACTCCAGTTCAAAACAAACGCCAAGGTCTGCGATATGACCTGGAAAGCTGTGAGACCGAGACTTTTTTTCAAGTTTGTAATTTTTTCGGACATTTTCTCGCGTTGTGTTCACGTTTGTTGGCGACCTTGTGCAGCGCAGTAAGGACACCACCCCGGTCTGACGGGGACATTACCGGACAACGGTGGAAAAACGCGCAGTGATTATCAATGGCAGATTCCACATAATTCACACTCTGCAATAAGTAGTTTGCTTCATTTATTGCATAGAAATATACTTTCGGATAAAAAAAAAAATTGAAGGTCGTAGAGATGACGCAATTTTATATTCGAGTGAATACACTTGTATGTCTTCTCTCGTAGCAAAACTATCAAAAATGTATTTATCATTTACTTTTCACCTTGATATCGAGAGATTCTATCTGTTATACCCCGAGGTTACTGATCGCTATCAGTATTTATATACTTTACGTCCTGTTCCTTTTATCCCCTTATCTATTCCTATACTACACCACCTTGTGAGTTCGTTTTAGACCAATTCCCCTCCCAAGCCTTTTAATATTGAACATCAAACGAAACAGTTCTTTGAGAGCGTTCTTAAACACGTAACAAGCCACTCGCAGTACCAGGAATGTCATTAACTTCCTATCGACTCCAACTAGGTCAATTCGGGAGTAACATATGGTTTGATTTTATTTCAATAATTCGCTTGCGAATATGGGTCTTTAGCAGTGGGGGACACCAGAGGACCCGTTGAAACCCCCACGAGCTTGGACAGGAGACCCTACTCCTTGTCACGTACAAGCGAGGAGTCGAAACCACGCCACTTGACTCAATGACAGACCTAGCTTTTTAACGCGCACGCGTTAAACTATTCGGCCACCCAACCTCACGAAAGTTGAGCGATACCCATTCCACATATCAAATCTAACTTAATTAGATCGAAACACGACAGACGTATATTGCCATAAAAATAAGTAAATACATGTGATCCAACGCGTTATACCATTCGATTACCCATACCCCCAGGATAGGACAGACTAAGTATGTGGTACAGCAGCATAATTATCATGTGACAAACAAATTGTAAAAATTTTAACAGTTGTTTTTGATTTACTTCCTACAAATGTCAAAAAGTGCTGGACCGTGTGGACGGAAAAACCTGAGCAGTTCAGATAAATCTGACTAATTTGTAATATAATGTTTTGTATAAACGTTGTTCGTGTGGACGGGGCTTTAGATTACTCATTCAATTGTTAGGTTTGTTTTTTCTCAAAGTATTTCTATGAAAGCTGTGGTGTATAAAAATAACCACAAAACATTTTCCTTTTATTTGCATTTCCAGGTCGTTTATCGGTTAAATTAACCATTAAACATCGTCCAAGTCTGAGCAACATGAAAGAGTTGTTTGTACATGAATTTATGTCTGCTTGGCTGTTCCAGCAATCTACTTAGTACATGGAACTGGAAACAACCCGCTTTTTTCCATTAAGGATACATTTGTTAAGAGTTTAATAAAGAGTTAGCCATTCTTGCTATAATAATTCAAAAATAGATGATAAAACAAGAAAATATTGAAAATTTCATTCAAATTACTTCTTTCTCAGCCAGGTAATCATTGTTTGTAGTTTTGACAAGATGTGTGCACAGTGGTAACCAGGGCACTGGTATAATCGGGACTTAGCCTTGCTTTCCCATTTTTAAATTAAATTTTTAAATGGAGAGAGAGAGAGAGAGAGAGAGAGAGAGATGGGTTTAACGTCCACTCGACACAAACTAGGTCATTTCCGGGCTAACATATGGTTTAATTTTATTTCAATAATTCGCTTGCGCATAGGGGTCTTTAGCAGTGGGACGAAACCGGAGGACCCGGAGAAAACCCGCGAGGTTGGACATGCGACCCTACTCCTTGTCAATTTTTAAATGGCGAACCGTTTTAATCTAGTTAAATTCTTGAGTATCCGATGCCATCGAGAGTCGATAATGGTCTTGCTTTGTTAATAAATGTCTAATTAATAGTTTATATAACATTTCAGGCCTAAAGAAAGACCTACAATAGGCAGATTTAGCCCTTGCATAATGTAGGTTTAATTGTCCCAAGCGATAAGTTAAACCAAGTGCTAATACTATTTATAGACAATGCAATTAGGGTCCAGACCTTACTGGTAGAAGTAGTCTCTAGATCTTTTAGACTTAATGACCCTTCTCCACCATCAAACATTTCAAATTTTCTGTGAAATGCTTAGCCTAAATAATTTGCACAAAGATATAATTATTATTTACAGTTAAAAGAGGCCATAATCTGTTGGCAGCTTAGTTTTGACTGTTCCAAGAACCCGAAAGAATACTTTCTGTTACATTAACTTCAATTTAATCGTCAGAGTCCAACACTTGTTTCGCTACTTATAAAAGTGTAACTGTCTGAAAATATTTTTATCGGAAGACTGTGGAAGATCTAACAGCTATTTATTCAGTGTTCTTAATTCTTGGTTTTTAATTCTTAGTCCTTCATTCTTATTTCATCATTTGTTGTCGTATTTCAACATTTGTACTCTAAAAATAAAATTTGTATCTTAAAATCAATATTCAACAAATGAAGAATAAGAATTAAGGACTGTGAATTAAGAACTAAGAATTATGAACACTGAATAAAGAGCTGTTTGGTCTTCCATAGAAGACATGTCTTGTTAGCTGCATTATTGTAACCAAAAACGAATATCAGTTCTTAAAATACAGATGTGACGTCATCCTTTGATGTTGGAATACCATTATTTCAAATAATCGTACGGGCAATGTGCCAAGCGTAACTTCGTAAAATATTGAACTGAGTGGCGTATTTCATTGCAAAGCCCGTGCAAGTGTCTGTATTTTAAGTTGTTTAATGGTCTCGAGCTTAAGACATTGAGTAATAGATTGTAAAAAAATTCGGGCCTCACGGCCCTCATGTTGTTACAATATATTACTTAATGTCTCGCTCTCGACCATTAAACAATACATGTACATAGTAGGTTCAGTTCCGTTCAATATTTACAAAAGGTATGTTGAATTGAAAATTTTGCAGGATACGAAATAACCTGAAGATGGGTAAAATCTTTGCAGTTGAAGTAGCTGGTGGTTTAACGTCTGCTTCTACGGTAGTGATATCGCAGACAATTTAAAAGCTTGTGATAGCCTATTTTTAATCCGAATGAATCTCAATGGATTAATTATCTACTGTAAATTATCTATTATTTTTTTTAATTAATTAAATGATAAATGATTAATTTGAGCATGGATTAAGTGGTGAGGGATTATATAATATTATTGTCTGGGAAATGTAAATGACGATCCGTTTCTTTAAATGACGTTCGGCAGCTTTAACTGTGGGTGTGTTAATTACTATTGATTAATATACAGTAGTAATCAACTGTAGGTGTGTGGCTGTAAATGATAGACACCCATTGAGATTATTATTAGTGTTACTATTATCTGATATCATCAAACAAAGAAATATTCCTTGTATGGTAATCAGTATTACATAGAGAGAGGGAGAGGGTTTAACGCCCACTCGACATAAACCAGGTCATTTCGAGACCAACATATTATGATCTAATTTAATTTTAATAATTCGCTGGCGCGTGGGGGTGTTTACCGGAGGACTCGGAGAAAACCCTCGAAGTTGGACAGGCGACTCTACTCCTTATCACGTAAAAATGGGGAATCGAAACCACGCCACTTGATTTAATGACAGACCTAGCTTATCTAACGCGCACGCGTTAAACCATTCGGCCACCCAACCCCACGAAAGTTAAGAGATACCCACTCCGCAAATCAAATCTAACTGAATTAGATAGACAAGTTTCTTTTCCTACCAAATCCACGAGGTCTAGTCGTTTTAAATGATGAGCTATCGCCACTACATATTGTCATAAACATGAGTAAATATATTTTAATATAGATTTATCTGGTTTTTATCCCAGATTGTGAATTTTAAAAAATCCAGAGGTCATGCAGGAAATTTGTATTTCAGATTATCTTGTTTAAAAGAAAATCGTGAATGAAAAATTTCCTGCGGGAATCCGGTTGTGCTCAGTTGCTATATTAATTTTGTGATGTGGAGTTGTCCTTTAAGAGCCGGAGTAATAGAGCGGCTCGAGAAGTTGACTTTTAACTAAAATATCCAAGATTAAAATCGCGGCATGATCGGAGAGGGCCCTTCAATATTTTTCTAGTTCGGTTCTCCCTTCTTATGCTTGGTGCCTGTTGTATAGTAAAAATTGTACTCGACTAGACGGAAACGTTGCCGCCTCGGTCAAATTCTCCTTCCAAGGGTTGAACATGCAAGCCCCGCATGTTAATTAATCTGTCAATAAGCGAGACATCGTACTGACTGAACGTTGAATCCCATTATAGTTCTTTCGGTCCGTGTATACAATAAGATAAGTATAACTGTGTTTTAAGTGTACTATAATCGATTCCAAGAGATAAGCGACTTTAACCGTTGCTAGAAAACAATCAAGATGTAGCTAGGTGCAAAGATAATGTATAATGTACATCAATACAATTAATACTTACCCTATATATAATATTATCCCATCAACCTATACCATATCCTATCAATCAATCCTTTGAACTCCCCGAAATATACTTATAGATAGAAGTTTTAATATATATTGCACTAAATTATAATTGTACTGTAAGATAACGACTGACACTGAATATACTCTTCCATACACTATACTATTATACATAGCACCACGCCAATACTTTCCTAACATCGCGTGTTCTCGGTCGTGGCGCGAGACTTTTATTATTCCATTGAGAACACCAATGTTGTATAGAACTGTTAAGAACAATAATTGGCGTACAATACAAACTTTATATACATTAAAGACATAATCGAGAAGGGCTTTGAGATGCTAAGACCGACAGGCGTCCAAGGAGTTCCTCATATTAATATTAAAGATACATTCCCACGAAAGTATTTATTGGGTAGTTACTTTCGATACAAGTATGGCAATTTTGGTATGGAGAGTAGAGACGACCAATCTTATAAGAAAAAAAATGGATTTCCAAAGAACAGATTCCGAAAACAAAACAAAAATGTGAGGGTATCCCCAAAATGCAGGCTGTCTCCCCCAATGACGTAATGTGCTTCTTACTGGTCAACCTCATACAAACGTTGGACCAAAGATCTGGCAAGTTGTAGTGGAAAGAGTTCAGCCCAACGAAAATATGGGGAAAAGTTGGTGTCGGGCAAAGAGACCAAAATTAACATAAATGTTGTTAAAGTTGCAATTTCATATTTTTACGTTATAGTTGGTGTCGGGCAAAGAGACCAGAATTAACATAAATGTTGTTAAAGTTGCAATTTCATATTTTTACGTTATAGTTGGTGTCGGGCAAAGAGACCAGAATTAACATAAATGTTGTTAAAGTTGCAATTTCATATTTTTACGTTATATTTTTAAAATTTATTAAAATAAAGCCTTAAAATAGACGGTATCTATAAACAGTCCTACCTTGTTAAAGAATAATCCTATTAATCCTATAATTCACTATTGCCAGTTGAGAAATAGGCAAAAATATCATTTTCCTCTTCAAATTCCAACGTTTGAAGATAGCTACTCCATGGTGGAGAATAGAAAACAAGGGAGGTAATTGGGAGGTAATTGTATTATTATTTCCGGTGTAAATGAGTTTTAAGTGTGAGAATGACACCTATGATCGTATAATAGTGAGTTGACAACCTATTGAGCAAAAGACATAGAAATAATTATGTTTTGACTTTCTTAGAAAATATGAAATTGTAACTTTAAATGGTGTTAAAAAAAATTGTCGAAAATACAAATTCAGATTTGTTTGCATCCAGTTGTTTTTGTCAAAAGTAATTAATGATCAAATGTGAAAAAGTAATCACTTTCTCCTCGAATCAACTGTTTAAATGCCAGAATCCATTAATGAATATACCCGGATCAAACACACCTTTATTTAGGTAAATTATCCTGACGAATAAAATAACATCTTCGTAGAGAATACAAAGAACAATCAATTTGTTTTGATTAATCGTTATCTTGTTTCTGCTAGTTTTGTTATTATAATTTGTGAAGATGTTAGAACCAGTCCAACTCCAAATTCAATATTTGTTATAAATTTGTTATGGAGAGCACTCACATCGATCATGCTTATAATGCCAGGTTCACACATGTGAAGTTTCATCAAAAAGCTGGATAGCCTAGAAGTTGCAAATCTGCTGGCGACTTCAATTTAAACTGTTAATTATTGTCAGTAAGTCGGATAACACAAACTCGACAGTGTAAACACCTCATACATGGTAAGAATACGATCTGACACAATCCTGCATGGGTTTCATCAAAACACTGGAAATTTTATCCAGTCTTCCAGGATATATCGGGTAGCCCAGAAAAAAAAACCCGATTATACTATTGAAAGTGAAATCATTCAGAATGTATTGTACTATTAACGTTTCAGAAATTGTACAATATAGATGTTTGACAAGTTCACTTTAAATTGTCTGTCCATCGCTCAAATTGTGTTAACAAAATATGAATTTAAAAAAGAATGTCATATTATCTTTTGCCGGATTGAAAAGTCACATCACACTAAACCGCCGTTTACATAAACAAAGGGTCAAAAATATGTCTCGTGCCTTGCACTAAGCGCCTTTTCCACACAACCCAAATTTCTAGCAATTTCTACCAATTTTGCCTGTATTGTGAAATATGAATGATATATGTACAATTTTAAATAGTGTACTCTTTGTTTTCTCTAGACCATCTGATATATTTTACATTGTCGGCAAGTGTAGTCGGTCCCTAAATGCAGATTTTAAAAAATCGATTTTTAGTCAGAAAATCGGAAATATCAAAATCAATATCATTAAGGATGTTGAAAAAAAAAACCGACAGTGAAACTCGGTCCTAACGGATAGTTCAGATTAGTTTTAGCGGTTTGACTCGGTACCAAGTTTCGGTCGATACCTTATTTCATGTAGTTACAAAACAGGTGACATTCGTCTGACCATTTTCACAAGTACAAATTGTTAGACCGATGTTTCTGACACAAACATTAAACATGAGCTAGCAAGATAGTGTTAAAATGGTGACATAACATATTCAATAAAGAATCAAATAAAACCAAGCACACCTAAAAATAATCAGTTTTAAAAAATATATAAACAATTAAGAAATACAGTGTCAAAAATATTATAAACCTTGGCCAGAGGACGCCTATATCTTGACGCCCTAGGCTTCAGTATGGTGACCGGTAATGAAAGCAATGCTAAGGGTTCCATATTGGGTTTCCGGAGAGTTCACTAGTAGAGGTTTATAAAGATAGTGAGAAAAAAAGAAAGTAGCATTATAAATCAATTATTGAGTGTCAGATAGGTTTTATATAAAAACAGGAAACCAAATAGGTACACATTTGATACGAATCCCATGCATATAGAACGAGGTCAAACCAGTTACCTAGTCAAACTGCGTCATCGATAACAAACTAATTTATTATGGACGATTTTCTAATTTATGTTTTAATAGCATGGTTTAATTAAGTTTATATATATCGACATGAACCATTGATTCATGCACCAATTAGCAGATGCTCCTTATACTTGGAGAGAGTATTTCTAACTACTAGTTTTCGAATTCAAACTTTCAAGGTTTATTTTACGAACACTTCAATGCGTACACGCGCAGACCTCAGTTTCCTAATCAATAACCAGCTATATTATAACCCATTTAAAATCCCGATAATAGATAAAAAGAAATTAAAAACAAATTGGTTAGTCAATTAGTTATCGTGACCTTAACACAGTCTTCAAGCAAAAAATATATTAAACATATGAAAATACACCTTGATTCAAAAAGGATAATGGGGGTGAATGTGTCATTGTAACATGCTTAAGGGAGAATCTTGCGTTTTGATTGATCAATTAGACACTGTCGATTGAACAATAACACCCCTCTGTATTAGTAATTTCTTTTTAAATGCTAAAATAGCATATTACAATGTCGATAAACACTTCCTAATGATCTCAGGACATGTCTGTTGCACAATAACACCTCTCAAAATGCCAAACAGGAGGGATATTCGATTGAACGTTCCGGAATTAAATTATCTCAATTCCAAAAATAATGCCAATCGAATGAAAGGGAGAATTTTGGAGTACAACGCTTGGGCCAAATGCATAAAAAATATCTCAAGCAATCATGACAGCTAAAACATTATTTGTTACGTAAAATACGTCGCAATCCTACTCACACCACCTCAGCTGACGGGACTGGCAGAACTGTAACAGGGCTGAATTCCGTATCACGTGATTGCAATTCTGTCAATTCGGGACGTTCCGGACTGACAATCGAGCACCCCACAGGAAGTGTGTATCTCCCAAACTATCAAGGATAATTGACGAATGGGGGGTAACTCCACATTTGAACGAAAATCAAGGTTACAGACCACCAAATATTCTTCAATACCGTCTTAATTCTTGTCTCTTCGACGACTCTTATAGTTTCCTTAATAGACGCAGTGACACCGGGCAATGTCTATTGTTTCGAACACTGAATGCGGTTGATCATGGAAAATTTTGAGTACACAAATCTAAAGCAGCATATGAATATTTTCGTAACTAGCAGCCTTACACATCACTGATATCAGCTGGACAGTTCAGTTCAGTTCAATTTATTTCGGCGCAGATTAGGTTCATTTCGCATTTATTAAAGATATTGTGATTGCACATGTACTTATTGCTTTCTCGCCTTACGTTTGTGTTTCAGCACCAAGCCTGGCGACGCTACAGATTGCTAGATACAGATTGGTGGACACAAAATGGGGTACATATAGTTGGGGGTGCAGAATGGCGGACACAGATAGACGGATGCAGGCAAGGCAGCGGCGGAGGGCGTGCGTAGATAAGTGGTGGTCTGTGTGAACGATTTTGTTCAAAAAGACAGTATGTTAATTTCGCTTCCATATTTTGTCATTGCGCATGTACTAATTGTTTTTTTCAGCAGCACCAAACCTGGCAGCGCTATAGATTATTGGTTACAAAATGGTGGACACACATTGGTGGAAAGAAATTGATGGATGCAGACATTTCAGCGGCGGAGGAGGCACATACCAAATGGTGGATGCAAGCATTCGCTGTGGCGGTGAAGGAATTTCAAGAGATGATGGGTGGGTGCGATTTTCCAAGATGAGTACATCATTTATGGCTTCTTGATTGTTCTGACGACACCTTTTAGAAATGATTAGTGCATCTTAAGAGACAAATGTATTTTTCCCCTCTTAAACTGCCTGCAAGATTTATAGAAAGAACTAACTTATTGTAGGTTCTCAATAAAATTGACCAGCTTTTTCTGGGCCTCCCAAAGGGTAGGCTAGATATAGACGTTTGTTACTTCTAACCCAGTCGGAGCAGAATAGTAGAACGTTAAACTCCATTTCACTTCATTTGTTACTTATTGGTTTTAATGAAAGTCCTGAAATAGTTATTAATCTGTACAGGCGTGTGAAGGATAGATAGAATTGGAGACCAAGCAGTTGAACAGATTAAAGACTTTTCATGGATTTTCAGCTTGGACATGTTAGATTGGCAATAACAGGTTATTGATTTTCATGTGTACTGTATTCACTGTATTAATTAATTTTATTTACTTTTCAATA